TCATTCTGTCCTTTATAGGCACATGGGGATAGAAGCTAAGTTATTTGCCTTTTATAAGAAATGCATAGTTATTAATGACAAAAGAGATGTTCTAGACATGTGAGATGTATATACAACCAAATAGAAGAGAGATGTTTTCATTAATGTGTAAAAAATTTTTGTTTAAAGGCAGGTGTTATTTTATGCCAAGAAATCTTATTGGAAAGTATTTTTTTCATAAGCAATTACATATGAATTATAATAAATATGGTCAATTTGAAGACATTAGCTTCCATCCTGAGACTAGTCTGTGTCTAGCAATGGATTTTAAAGAAAGAAATTTAAATCTGAAAGTACTTGTATTTCTTAGCTAGTAACTATTGAGAAAATAATGTAATGATTTTACTTAAATTTGTATTCATCATTTTTCTGTCCTTTATCCTTGTTTAAACAGTGCCTAAGAGCAGTTGTAACTTTTATATTGTTTCCATGTTTTAAAAGTTCGGTATTTTGATCACTTTCCTTTTCCTATTATTTAGTCCTCTCTTCCTAACAAAATACCTAGTGTTTGCTATGAGGTCATACTTTATACCTAGAATTCAAAAAAAGCCTTTCATAAAATTGGTTTTGGTTTCTCTAAAACAATACTTTGCAGATTTTTTCTTCTTTTTTTAAGAGGTCTTTGTCATATGGAGAGTGTGCTCACCAGAGAAAGAGACACACACAGAAACAGTGAGAGGAAAAATAAGAAATCACCCACCAGGGGAGATGGCCATGCCTCAATTCCTCCTCCTCCATTCTCCTCCTCGGATCTTGGGCATGCATATACCCACACCCAGTGTGATTTTCAAGCCACTGGTCTGGGACTTGAATGGTGACTGGCCAAGTGGGAGTCCAATGATATAACCACAGTGCTATCTGCAGGTCCCCAGAAATCTCTTTTAATACTTATAGTATGAATTGCTTTATCTATTGTGCCATGATATATTTTTAATTAAAAGAATTTTTAAGATAACTTTTATATTCAAAGAACAATGAAGTGTAAGGTACATATATTTTGGATAGTCACTCTATTTCCTGACCCTCTACACACACACACACACACACACACACACACACAGCCTTCTTCATTATAACCATTATCAGTAGAGCAGTACATTTGTTATAGTCAAATGAACCTACATTGACCCAGTATCACCCAAAATCTATAGCTCATTCTCGGTCTTGTATCATCTGTGAGGTTGGATGAGCATGTGATGATGTGGATCCACCACTGTAGGAATATACAGAACAATTTGATTGCCCTAAAAATCTCCTGTGCTCTGTCTACCCAGTCCTCTTCCTCTCCTCACCCTTGGAAATGACTAATCTTCCTATGTGTCCATAGTTTTGGTCTTTCCAGAATGCGAATGTCATATAACTTGCACATATTAAGTAATCTATTCAGATTGTTTTCTTTTGCTTGGTAATATACATTTAAGTTACCCTATGTCTTTTCATTGCTTGATTATTAGTTGTTTTCATCCCTGAATAATAGTCTACTATTATTGGAACCTGGAGTATTATTCACTAATTTACCCATTTATTTACTGAAGGATGTTTTGGTTGCTTTTAACTTTTGGCAATTATCAATGAAGCTGCCAAAAACATCCATGTGCAGCTCTAATGTTCTTTGCTTGTTAGTGTATTTGTTAGTTTTCCTTTGCATGTTATTTATGTTTTGCAGTTTTTTTTTTTCATTTTAGCAAGAGAATTCTTAGATACTAGGTCTAATAACTAACAGTTTATTTATCAATGGCAGGTAGCGAAGGACAAGATTCACATTTTTAATTATATTTTTATTTTATAAACGTATTTATAAAACATTTCATTTTTATTTATAGTTTATTATGGTACATCCCTTTGGCTCACAATATGTTTTATAACATATGCATATAACACATGACTCTCAAGTCAAGAATATTTTATTCTTATTTAGTTTTTATCATCGTACATCTCTATGGCTCACAAAATTATTTTTCAACATATGCGTGTAATACATGATACTCAAGTCAAAGATATTACCAAATATATCATTTTCAAAACTGCAATGAGATACCATTTAACCCCAGTAAGAATAGTTAGGATAAAAAAGCTAAGAACAAATGCTAGTAAAGGTTTTGTGAAAAGGGAACTGTCCTATACTGTTGGTGGGAATGTAAATTAAATGTAAAATTAACTGTTGTGGAAAACAGATGGAGAGTCAAAAAAAAAAAACCTATAAGTAAAATTACCATTTGATCCAGTAAGGTTACTTTTTGGTATTTATCCAAAGGATAGCAAAATATTATTTTGGAGACACACCTGCATGTCCATGTTTATTGCAGCATTATTCATTATTACTACAACACAGAACCAATGAAAGTGCCTAAAAATTGAAGAAGGATTGACAAAGTGTGTCACATATATACTACAAAGCGCTAATCAACCATAAGGAAAAGTCAGGTTCTATTATTTAATTCAAAATGGATGAATATGGAAGACTTCATGCTAAGCGAAGTAAGCCTGACTCTAGAAGACACACACTGTATATCTCCACTCAATATACTAGCTGTACTCCATGGCAGAAATGAAAGAGAGGATAAGTGTAGATAAATAGAGACTAGAAGAAAGAGGAGTAGATGGTAAAGAGTGAGTGGGAGGAGCAAGGGAAAGAACACTGAACAGAAAATAGAATGTATAGCTCTCTGCTGAATATCATTTACATTTTTATAATTCAGTGAAAACCTGGCCAGCAAGTATGCCTTAGAATTCCAAATTATTGGCGGAAGCGGGATTGGAGATCTGCTTGTAGCTCAGACTTCAGCCCCACGTGTGCGAGTTGAAATGATGGAAGTAAAAGTGAAAAAACAATTAACAGGAAGGAATACAAAGGCATCACAAGAAAAAAAGAGATTCTGTAAAAACAGTGACTCTGGTTCTTCAAAGACATTCCCAAGAAAAGTTGTTAAGGAAGGTGGACCTAAAATCACATCAAAGAACTTTGAGAAAAGTGCCACAAAACCTGGGAAAAAGGGTGTAAAGCAGTTCAAGAATAAGCAGCAAGGGGACAAAGCACCTAAGAATAAATTCCAGCAGGCAGATAAATTCAACAAGAAGAGAAAATTCCAGTCAGACAGTCAAAGTGATTGACTCAGCAGCCAAGAAACCCAAATGGGATGATTTCAAAAAGAAGAGAGAACTGAAGCAGAGCAGGCAACTTAATGATAAAACCAACTATGACATTGTCGCTCGGTCCAAGCAGATCTGGGAGATTTTAAGAAGGAAAGACTGTGACAAAGAAAAAAGAGTGAAGTTGATGAATGACTTACAAAAATTGATTCAAGGAAAAATTCAAACTATTGCATTTGCTCATGATTCAACGCGGGTGATCCAGTGTTACATTCAATATGGTAATGAAGAACAGAGAAAACAGGCCTTCGAAGAACTGCGAGGTGATTTGGTTGAATTAAAGCCAAATATTCCTGAAATATTGTTAAGAAATTTCTCATGTATGGAAGTAAACCACAGATTGCAGAGATAATCAGAAGCTTTAAAGGCCACATGCAGAAGATGCTGTGACACACAGAAGCATCAGCCATCGTGGAGTACTCCTACAATGACAAAGCCATCCTGGAACAGAGGAACATGCTGACAGAGGAGCTCTACGGGAATACGTTCCAGCTTTACAAGTCAGCAGATCACCCAACTCTGGACAAGGTGTTAGAGGCAAAGCCTGAAAAATTAGAACTCATTATGGATGAAATGAAGCAGATTCTAACTCCAATGGCCCAGAAGAAAGCTGTGATTAAGCACTCATTGGTGCATCAAGTATTCTTGAACTTTACCTTATGCACCCCCAAATTCAGATCAGAACTGATTGAAGCCATCCGTGAAGCAGTGATATACCTGGCACATACACATGATGGCGCCAGAGTGGTCATGCACTGCCTGTGGCATGGTACGCCCAAGGACAGTAAAGTAATTGTGAAAACAATGAAGACTTATGTAGAAAAGGTGGCTAATGGCCAATACTCCCATTTGGTTTTACTGGCAGCATTCGACTGTGTTGATGATACTAAGCTTGTAAGTCAGATAATCATATCAGAAATTATCAGTTCTTTACCTAACATAGTAGCTGACAAATATGGAAGAAAGGTCCTGTTATATCTCCTAAGCCCCAGAGATCCTGCACACACAGTCCGAGAAATCCTTGAAGTTCTACAGAAAGGGGATGGAAATGCACACAGTAAGAAAGATACAGAAATCCGCCGACGCGAGCTGTTAGAATCCATTCCTCCAGCTTTGTTAAGCTACCTGCAAGGACATGCCCAAGACATGGTGCTAGATAAGTCTGTCTGTGTGTTGGTGGCTGACATTTTGGGATCTGCCACCGGGGATGTCCAGCCTGCCATGGACGCCATCGCCAGCTTGGCAGCAGCAGAACTGCACCCCAAAGGCAGGGACGGAGAGCTTCATGTTGCAGAACATCCTGCAGGACGTCTAGTACTGAAGTGGTTAATAGAACAAGATAAAAAGAGGGAAGAAAATGGAAGAGAAGGTTGTTTTGCAAAAATACTTGTAGAACATGTGGGTATGAAGAACCTTACGTGAATGTAAACCGAGGTGCCATTATTCTTTCTATCCTTCTCCAGAGTCCTGACCAAGAAGTTGCAAACAAAGTCAAAGCTGGACTGAAAAGCCTGATTCCCACATTGGAAAGAAACAAAAATCCTAGCAAAGGAATAGAAATTTTGCTTGAAAAACTGACTGCATAGGTGGACACAATTAAAAACAATAAGGAGGGGCCAGCAGTTGGTGTGGTGGTTAAGATGGTGGCCTTCCATGTGACTGACCATGGTTTGAGTCCCAGACCCAGTGGGCTGAAAATCATGCCAGGCACATGTGCATGTGTGTGTGCATGCATGCATACCCAAAATCCTGAGAGAGCAGGGGAGGAGAAGGGACTGTGATGTGGTCACCCCCATGTGGGGAGTGATTTCTCACTTTCCCTCTCTCTTTCTATGTTTCTTTCCTGTGAGTGCACAGGCTCCATGGCAAAAGACTAACAAAAAGAACAAGAAGGAATCATTTTTCCTCTCTTCTGTTCTTTTTTCCCAGAGCCAAAGAGAAGGGCTGGGGTGCTCTGTATATGTTTTTCTTGACTGTGTTTAGATTCTCGTGTAAGAATCTATTTATAAAGTTGTTTCTACAAAAAAAAAAAAGAATTCCAAATTATTAATTCTCACTATGTCTTCACTATCTGTTAATATTTCTTTCAATGGGAAGTCAGGAGAATTAATCCTTCCAGAAACAACATAAAACAGATTCTGCTATACTGACTTCTGTTTCTGAAATCTGCTAGGGAATGTATATTTGAATACTCTTTCAGAAATTTAAAAACACTATTTCTAATAGAGATTTCAACTTCTCCACTATCATATACTGTATCACTGTGTGGTCTGATGCCCAACTTCAAAGTTTTTAAAAAATTATCATTAAAAAATTTCTGCTATTCAATATAACATTACTTTATTTGTTTGGCTCAGAGGTATTTTGTGCTTCTTATTTTTATTTGTTAATATAATAACCCTACCTACACTTTCTTAATACAGCACAAAATTAGCTAAGTTTTCAACTCACTTTGTTATGCTAACTTAAGTGTTTGATTAGTTATTACTTTAAAATTCTAAGTCCTATTTCCCTGTTTTATTCCATTCAAGTTAGCAAAGTAGTACAAAATCTAGGAGACAGTTTTTCTCTTTTATGTTTTTACCTAGTCCTTTTCTTTATGAAGTTGCTAAGTAAATAAGCTTCTGTAAATTAACTGTGTGCTTTTTTTGGAAATAATGTCTGACACCAAACTTTTCTCATAGTGTTTTTCATCTCTGTATTTCTCAAAGTGTAGATTAAGGGATTGAACATAGGAGCAATGATTGTGTAAAAAAGTGCAAATACCTTATCCTCAGGGAAAGTGATAGGAGGTCTAAGGTAGATAAATATGGAAGGTACAAAAAATAAGATGACCACAGTGATATGAGAACCGCAGGTAGAAAGGGTTTTGCATCTGCCCTCAGCTGAGTGATTTCTTAATGTGAATAATATAATGACATAAGAAACAAATAGAACGACAAATGTAACTAAGGCAACAATACCTGAATTGGCAACCACGAGGACACCAACGATGTAAGTATCAGTACAGGTAACATTTAGCAAAGGGAAAATATCACAAAAATAGTGATCAATTTTGTTAGGGCCACAGAAGTGTAAATGAATTGCTATGGCCAATAGAGGAAATGAATGAACAGCACCCCCAGCCCAAGCAGCTAAAATTAGGAGATTGCACCTTGTCTTATTCATGATAATTATGTAGTGGAGAGGTTTGCAGATGGCAACATAGCGATCAAATGCCATGGCAGTTAGAATAAAGACCTCAATACTTCCAAAGAAGTGCATGGTAAAAACCTGCAACATGCAATTACTGTAAGAAATGGTTTTTGTCCCTCCTAGCAAGTCACCAATTAATTTGGGAGTAACAGTAGAGGTATAGAAGATGTCCATAGAAGATAAATGGAGGAGGAAATAATACATCGGTTGGTGAAAAAGTGGACTACATAGAATAGAGACAAGAATCAGAAGGTTTCCTACCAAGAGAGCAACATAACAAAATAAAAAGAGTACAAAGCAAAATATTTGTATGTTATGATTGTAAGAAAGTCCTAAAAGGATGAATTCTGAGATGTTTCTCTGGCTTTCCATATATTCGAGTTGGTGTGTTTCATGGACAAAAAAGTAAATTACCTGAAAGAAAGAATACATAAAATTTGAATGAAAATTTAATAGTATAATCCCAATAATATAAAATTAATAAAATATAATAAATATGTATGGAATATTAATAGCAATTATTATGTATTTATAGAATTAAGCTATATATTTTTTATTCTAAGTCATTACGCAAATCTGTTGAAAATGATATTAGAATGAGAATAATGTGTTTTCTATTCAACATTACCTATAATGTTAGAAAACACTTAAATGCTATTTGAAAACTAAAAATTATTTCCTTACTATTAAACGTATTGTTTTGCTAAGAATTAAGGCTTTATTAACTTTAGACCAAAGGAAAAGAAAACGCCATTTCATATGTATTATAAAAGTATGTGCCTTATCATAGGGACATACTATGACTTTCATTCTAATATAATCTTGTCACATTCCCCGATTATCTGGGAGTAAATCTTCACAAAATATAAATATGTTTAAACACTGATACTTGACTATAGAATTCTAATTTGTGCAGTGTATACATTTCTTTTTTCTCTCTTTTTTTTTGCTATAAGATGTGTGCACTCACCAGAGAGACAGAGAGACAGAGAGATGGAAACCAAGAAATCACTCCCCAGGGCAGATGGCCATGCCACAACCCCTCCTCCTCCATTCTCCTCTTGGGATCTTGGGCACTCACGCATAGGTGCCCAAAGAGAGTTTAAGCCACCTGGTCTGGGACTCGAACAGTGGTCAACTACATGGGAGTCTGCAACATCGCCATTATGCCAACTGCTGTTCCTAAGTGTATATGTTTATTTGCCATGTGAGCAAACCGTGTCTTAAGGTCATGCCAAATCAATGCAATTGTTATATTACAAAGCAAAAAAATGTAAACTACAGGGAACCAGCAGTTAGCGTAATGGCTATGTTGTTGGACTCCCACATAGTCGACCACGGTTCGTGTCCCGGACCCGGTGGCTTAAAACTCACGCCGGGCATGTGTGCGTGCGTGCCCAAGATCCCGAGAGGAAAATGGAGGAGAAGGGATTGCGGCGTGACCATCCCCCCTGGGGGGTGATTTCTCGCTTTCTGTCTCTATGTCTCTCTCTGTCTGTCTGGCGAGCACACGCACCCTACAGTGAAAATCTCTCAAAAAAAAAAATGTAAACTACACAGCAAAGGACTAAATGCTATTTAATGACTAAAGTTTTTTTTTTTTTAAAAAAGCAGAACATTTATTCATTTATCCTATTTGCATCTTAACTGTTAATGGCAGTTTTGGAATACTATACTGTCATTCAAATTTGAGATGGCAATAAGTAAAGAAAAGATGTAATTATAAATTTCCCCAAGTACATTTAAATTGTGCATATATCATGGCTTTTACTAGACATATCATGTATTTTATATACAATCAAGAAAAACAAATGTCAGTAAAAGGAGATGTGTAGAAGGGAATTTTAAGGCTGTGGAGAGCAGTGGATGGCATGGTGGTTGGCGTTCTGGACTCCCATATGACCAATTATTTTCCAAATCCTGGACCTGGAGGCTTGCTTTCTCATTTTCCCTTTCTCTTTTTCTCTTTCTTTCTCTCTCTGTCTTGCTTCAGTAAGCACATGTACCCTAGCAAATTAAAACATTAATAATAATGATAATAATATAATAAGTATTTTTTTAAAAGACAAACTTTGTGATCAGTTAACAGTGGTATTTTTGTATAAATCAATAAAAATTCATAAATGTACATCTTTTATAATTTTGTTCAATCTTAAGAGATTATTTAACTAATGGAGAGAGTATGTTGGATAGAGAGAATGCACTCAAGGCTATTTCACCTATTGATGAGGAATTATCTGACCCTAGTGGGATTGTAAACTCTCTAGCATATATTGTACCTTAGTCTGAATTTGATGTGATAGTCATATTTGGGCCCCTAGGTTTCTTAAAAAAAAAAATAGAGAATACTTTTGTAACAGGTTATTTAGAAAATATCAATTATGGTAATTCACAATATCAGTACCTATAACATTTTTGGTTGATTTTAGATAGCAAATAAGTAACAGATACAGCATTTAAAAATGGATTTCTACTCTATGACATCAATCTATTTTAATTGATATACAAAAATTTAACATTATCAAAGATAATTTTCAGTTAGTTCCTGTGTTGTCCTCCCTATCACTCTCAACCTTCCTATTCTACTTTTGTAGCAAAATAAAAATTATTATTAGATACAGAGGGTTTAGACATTACCAGTAACTGAAGAATATTAATACATTTGGGTGTGGGGAAATTCATTGATGTCTCTTCTGCTTATTACACCGACACAGATTCTTTGTTTCTGAGGTGGAATAATGTTAATGTTTCAGATATAACCATTTACCTGAAAGAGTTTGGTTTAAAGAGATTTATTACAAAAGTAGGCTGGATAATTTAAAAGTGGCAATTATTTGATTAATATGAACCTCTGTTCTTTAAACAAAAAATATTCAGATCAGGAAATCCTAGTAATTTCTCCAGGTCTAAATAAATATGCAGTGGATGGGAGGAGCCAGGAATGCTGATTCTCAGTCAGGATGGTGCTACACCCCACATTTGAGCACAGAGCAGGAGCGGGGTAGGGTCTCATGAAAGACTGCAACAAAAAGAACTGTTCAATATCTTCTCATTTCTGTAGCCAAGAATATGCAAATATGAGCTACCAGAACACCCTATCTGTCTTCCTAGTATTTACATAAAAATATACTGCATGTTTGATATAAATATATGATTTAGAACTGCCTAGTTTTAAACTGTAGTTTAAAATACTTTTTTTCTATTTTATCAAAATGCAAATTCCTTAATTCAGGATTCTTACTTGTTTTCTAGATTATTATTTAATCTACAATACCTCTGCATAGTCCATCCTGGATCTAAGAAAAAGATCATTGCTGATAACAGAGGTAAAAGGGAAACATGAAAAGTCTGGTGAGAATAGCTAATCATTCAAACAGTGTTATCTTGACCATAGAGATAGTAAGAAAATCCCTTTAAAAACACTGATCCCTAAGTGATGAAATAAAAAAAATAAATAACATTAGGCAACAACTGAACAAGTGGTTAGAATAGTGACAACACAAAGGGATGAAAACGTGGAGGTACATGAATAAACAAACTGAATGGAATATTTGAGCTAACTGTTTAATTTCTTTAATACTCATTTTACTCTATGTATCATGATATCATAATATCATATATTCAAAAATACAGTGAGGAATAAATGAGATATTATGAAATAACCAAGTTTCATATTTGGTTCTGAAGATGAAGGGTCTTCGAATTTTCATGGAAAATACATAATACATAAAAACTTAGAAAGGATTTTGAAATGATTCTGTACCAAAATAAATTTGTACTTTAATTCCATTTTCAAGAAACTTCATGAAGTTCAAGCACACATAGTTGCTTTTCTCTTTTCTTCTTTGAGTAATTTAACAGCTAATGAAAGTTTCATGCATATATATACAACCAAGTCAATATTACAAAATAAATTTAATGTGTGATCAAGTCAATATTACTTTAGACAATCTGTTAGTGAAAAAAATGTAAGCTAGTGTGATGATAAATTGGCTCTCTGAAAACATTCCTTAACACTAATTACTAGGCTGATATTTTCTGCATTCTAATAAAATACAGTCAAATGAATACTTTATTTTTTGGGGGGTAGTACTGAATGAAACTTTTGCATTCCTTTTGGAGTGTTATATGAAAATAATACATGCTCTACCAGAAGTACTAAAATATAGTTATGAAATATTTAAATTTTTTCTTAATATATTAGAATGTATCATGCTACAACTTACTTTGCTCGAACCAGATGACACTACTAATACTACATTTTAGGAGGTTGGTTGTTTTAAAAGATAAAAAATTCTTCTCCAGGGAAGATACACAATCATTAACCAGGCTATTTCTTAATAGGAACAAGAAATACATACACACACGCACACATATATACATGCACATACCCATATATAAACACAAGAATGGGGCATAGTAAAATACACTATCTACTTGATAATGTCTCTATCTTTTGTTCTCTCTCTATTTTTTTTTTTTTGGAGAAGTTTTTGCTATAGGGCGCATGCACTTGCCAGAAAGACAGAGAGAGACAGAGAGACAGAAAGTGAGAAATCACCCCCCAGGGGGGATGGCCATACCATAATCCCTTCTCCTCCATTCTCCTCTCAGGATCTTGGGCACACACGCACACGTGCCCGGTGTGAGTTTTAAGCCAGTGGGTCTGGGATGCGAACTGTGATCGATTACATGGGAGTCCAGCGACATAGCCATTATGCTAACTGCTGGTCCCCTTTTTTTTCTTTTTTTGAGAGTTTTTTGCTACAGGGTGCATGCACTCGCCAGACAGACAGACAGAGACAGAGAGAGACAGAAAGCGAGAAAGCACCCCTCAGGGGGTTGACCATGGCACAATCCCTTCTCCTCCATTCTCCTCTTGGGATCTTGGGCACACACACACATGCACCTGACATGAACCGTACTTGAACCGCAGTCGACTACATGGGAGTCAAGCGACATAGCCCTTATGCTAGCTGCTGGTCCCTCTATCTTTTGTTCTTAATGAACAATTCTTACACATAACAGACTATTAAACCTACTGTGGTCTAAGTATTTTTTAAATGATTAAATATTGCAAGAGAAGTGATATCCTTTAAAGTTATATAGAATAAACTGAATAGCATGTAATCTGCTCAGTACATAGGTGGTGGGATTCTACACAGTCTTAAGGCAGCAGACCATTTCTCTGACCATCAGGTCTAAGTGGCTGTCAGGATGGTTTTAAATGTAGATTAGGAGAAATTCCACTCTCAGATACTTACTTTGCCAATTCATCTCCAATATCAAATTCAAAATAAAATGTAAAGAATTACAAACCAGGGTTTCAAACCAGGATTTCAAATCAATTCTCTGATAATATTTGGAACAACTCCACATGTTATGAAACTTCTGCAGGATGCAAGAGAAATGGAC